TTTGAGGGGAGGCCCAGGTGAGCAGACCTGCCGGGTGTGGTGACTCCTTGGGTGACCGGTGTCACAGCTGCTCTGGCCCTCTTGGCACACCCTCCACGTCCTGTGTGGCTGGAGATGGTTGGCACTCTGTCTTGAGCCCCCTTTGGGCAGTGGCGTTGGGGTGGGAGTTGGCCCACGTCGGGCTAAAGCTGAGCGTCATTCTCCTTGGTGCCAGGGTCTGGGGTGGCCTAGACCTCTGCTTCTCTTGTGGCAGCCCCAGGAGGTAGAGAGTGTTCCCATTTTACAGGTGAGGACACTGAGCCCTCAGGCGAACCAGCTTGCCCCCCGTGGTTTGCTTCCTTGTTTTAAAAGACACGATTAAAAAGAATTTTATCCTGTTAAATTGCGTGATCCCTTTTAGGTACTTGGACTGGCTGAGCATTGTGCTTCACCTAAGCGCCACTCAGGCAGGCGGTGGTGGTTGCAACACTGACGTTCTCTCCCTTCTCGGTGTTCTTCTGGGTCTTCTGGGTGTTGGTGTCGGGCCTCCCTGCCCCTGGGCCCCTGCAGACACAGAAGGATAAAGCCCCTTGTGTTTGTTTTGAGTGCTGTGGACTGGGACCCCTCAGGCAGGTGCTAGTCCACCTGGAATGAGCCAAGGCCTGCGGCTGCCCTCCCGTCCCCACCGGGCCCCCGAGCCATCCCTGTGTGCCAGCCAGCCTGCCAGCGCCACATGCTGACTCCCACTGCAGGGTCTCTCGGGAGGGACCAGTGGTGTTCTCTGCGGAGAACACAGCGCCTGGTGTGTGGGGCCAGCATTCCGGCCCAGGCAGCCAGGACACGGTCACCCCCACTTGTAGGGGAAGAAATTTGAGGTTCAGCAAAGTGAAGCCAGTGAGTGGTGGGGCCGGGGCGGGGCCTGGGTTGGCTGCTGCAGACGTTCCCGTTCGCCCACTGCCTCTCCTTGGTCGGAAACGACGGGGGGCACGTGGCCCCAGCCTTCTGCTGGCACCAGGCCACCAGAGCAGTCCCGGGGTGGGGCGGGGGGTGCCCGGGGGAGGGGTGTGGAGCAGGTGCACACAGCAGAAAGGCGGCAGGTGTCAGGGACGCCCTGGGGCAGCAGGTGGGGGCCAGCAGGGAGCAGGGAGCCCACATACCTTCCCCTCCTTCTTTTCTGACCTGGGAGAGCAAAGCCAGATGTGGAAAATCACCATTTCCCTTTGAGGCTGAAAAATCTCTACCCTGGTGGGTGCCTCATTCCCGACGGCTCCAGGTGTGACAGTCCTGAGACAGGAGAGGAAGCTGAGGGCCCGGCTCCGGCTCTGCCCCAGTGCCCCTAGCCACCCTCCGGCAGCATCAGAGTCCACAGCCTGGATGTGAACCTGGCTCTGTCCTCTTCGCCACCCTTGTGACAGTCCCTCACTGATTCCCCGTCACTCCGGGATTAAGGTCCCCAGTCAGCACACGACTCACAACTAATCGACTGATGTCATCAGTGATGGGGGGAAGGACATCTGAACGTCCTCTCCTCCGTAGAAGCGATGACAGTGCTGACAGAAACTGCCAGAGCCCACGTTGTCAGCACACTGGAAATCAAGCAAACTCTTGCAAGAGTCCAGGAATGTTTATTGAAGAAAAACAGCTCAATCTGGGTAAGAAGAGTAAAGCTATGCGGAATCTAACGTGACTGTTCTGCTGTCTTCAGCGCCGTGATGGCTTTGAGAGGCAGCACCTGCAGCCACATCCTGACACCTGACTGCTGACAGCCACCAGAGGGGACAGAATGGGGTTGGGGCCTCGAAAACCCTCAGAGGGCTGTCATTATGTGACCATTTGGGAATTCCCTGCAAAACCTTTTTCACAGGCTTATCTCTATGTGACCTGACTCAGCGCTCAGTGTGAGCAGCTTTTGCCCTGAGACATTTGTTAACCACAATCAGTGGCAACTGTTTAACCTCACAGCCGCCTGAGGCAGTGAGAATGGCAGAGGCAGGAGCAGGGCGCTAAAAAACTGGGGAAGGAGAGGTCTGCCGGGTGCTTTGAAAGGCTGTGGGAATGTTTCTGGGAGCCAGAGGACCACACACGAGGGTAGTAGGGCCGTGTGCGCACTCAGGAAAGACCGTGAGGTGTCCGGTCTGTCATCGCTGGCTGACCTTGAGGCCGGGTGCGAGCAGGAAGAGCAGAACAAGACAGAGTTGGCCGAGTGCCCACCCTCCAACGCCAAGAGACTCACTGTTTCCGGGCACGTGAGGAAACCCGTCCAGTTGCTGGCCGACCGCCTCGCTAACCACGCAGACTTTAATGGCCCCACACGAGAAAGAAAACAGACTTTACAGAATTTGTTCAGAAAAGTCATCAAACAATGACATAAACGGCAACAGTAACAACCCCAGTCCTGAGGTGGGAAGGGGTTCTGATTTTCGGAGTGGTCACACCGTATTATCCACTTTTCAATAAAAATACATGTGACGTGCAAGAAAACACGAAGCCGTGTCTCGCATGGGAATGCAAAAAGCCGTCCAGAGAAGCCGTCCTGAGGGAGCCCAGATGAAACTTTAACCACCTATCTTCAATATGTGCAAAGAACAAACTGTGTCTGAATAAGAGTGAGCGTGAGAATAACTTCTCATCAAGTGGAGAATACCAATACAAAGGTAGACTTTATGGAAAAAACATCAGAAATTCCACATTTGAAAAATAAAACACGAAGTTCACTAGGGAGGCTCAATGTTGAGCAGATTTGAGCAGGCTGAAGAAAGAATTGGTGAATTTGAAGAAAGACAATTGAAAATATCTTGCCCGATGAACGGAATGACAAAAGGGTGAAGGGGAAGGAACAGAGGCTCAGAGACCCGAGGTACCCTGGACAGCACAGCAACACACATGCAATGAGTCCCAGAGGAGAGGAAAGAGAGAAAGAAGCAGAAAGAATATTTGAAAAACATATGGCTCACAATGTCTCAAAGCTCAGGTAGGACACACGCAGAGAGAGCCGTCCCTGGACACATCGTAGGCAAATCGTAAGAGCCAGAGACGAGGGCCAAAGTGGGGGGGGAAGATCGACGAGTGATTTCTCACCAGGATCGTTGGAGGCAGGGAGGCCAGGGTGGCATGTTCAAGGGCTGAATGAATGGACGAGAACTGTGTCCAGCAAAACTCACAGCGACGGCCCATCTGTGCTGCCGGTCACTTCATGATGGTCAAGTGTCCAGGAAGGAGGCTGTGCGGGCGGGTGGGCACGGATGGGACCCAGTTCTGCAGTAAACGGACGCCCACACGTTGAGGCTCCGACCCGGCAAAATGAGTCCTTGCCCTGATGCAGACCCAGGGGGCCCCTCCGTGAGGCGCAGGGATCCAGGTGGTCCAACAACGCTGATGTCCTGTCGCCATGTCAGCCGGCAGGAGGGCCACACTTCTTACCAGCATGTTCCTCTGCTCACCAGCCGCTGGCCACGGTCCGTCACGGGCCACCCTGGGCTGGGTGCAGGCATGGTGGCCGTGGAACTGGGGGGTGAGCAGGAGCTGGTGGCCTGGCGTTCAGGCCCCGTATGGCTGTGAGGGCGTCCCCCGCCCTCCCCAGCCCCCATGCTGCCACCCATCAAGCGGGAACGTGGGAGCCTCCCCTCCAGCCCGCCCTGAGGCTAAGCAGGGAGGTGGGTTCTGGGGTGCGTGGAGGGGTCGCCGTCTGCTGGGGAGGCTGGGCCCCGCATGGCCACGGAGGAGGCAGCCTGGGCCTTCTCCTTGCAGCATCCTCTTTGCGGACATTGTGGGCTTCACGGGCCTGGCGTCGCAGTGCACGGCACAGGAGCTGGTCAAGCTCCTCAACGAGCTGTTCGGCAAGTTTGATGAACTGGCCACGGTAAGCGCACTCCCTGCCCCCCACCGTTTGACGAACTGGCCGCGGTAAGTGTCACCCTGGCCCAGGCAGGGCCTACGCCCCAGCTGTGACATCACTGTCCCTTTGCATGGGCACCCCAACCTAGGGCGCACCTGGTGGGGGGGGCCCAGGCCTGTTCTGGGGGTGTCACACATTCCAAACGTCTCCTCGGATCATAAGACTTACTTTCTTATTTTTGTTCATTAAATTTACTCCTCAGCATTTTATTGTTTTTGATGCAGTTGTATGTGCAATTGTTTTCTCAATGTTTCCAGGAGTTCGTTGTTAGTGCAACAGTAGGTTTGTGTGTTAAATTTGCCTCCGGAAACTCTACTGAAGTCATCTGTTGGCTCTGGCAGGTTCCTGGTGGCGTCTTTAGGGTAGATATTAAGTCATTTGCAGAGAGAGAGTTTTACTTCTTTTCTGAGTTGGACGCTTTGGGTTCCCTTTTTGTGCCCGACTGTCCCGTCTGGGACTTCACAGCCTGTTGAAGGGACACAGCAGGACTGGGTCTCCTTGTCTGGTTCCTGATCCTGGAGGGAAAACTCTCCTGGCTTCCCTGTGGGGACGAGGTGTGCTGTAGGCGGGTCCCACGTGGCCTTCCCTCTGTACCCCCTGTGCTGAGAGAGTTTATCCTGAAAGGGACAGTGAATTTTGTCAGATGCTTTTTCTGCTGAGATGATCCTGTGGCTTTGGTCTTTTTTCTTGCTCATGTGATGTGTCACGCTGATTGATCTGCGAATATCAATCCGCCTGCCTTGTCTCCCTGGGAATAAATCCCACTTGGTCGTACTGAATGATCCTCTCTCTTAACATACTGTGGGAAGAGGTTTGCTATACTTTTTGGGGACTTTTGTGTTCCGTTCACCGGGGATACTGGCCAGCGTTGTCTTTTCTTGTTTCGAAAACTCTGTTTTCGGTTTTAGGGTAATGCTGGTTCTGTAGAGTGAATTTGGAAGCTTTCTTTTCTCTTCTGTTTTGGGGAAGAATTTGGGAAGGATTGGTGTTCTGTAATGTTTGGTAGAGTTCACCAGTGACACCGTCGGTCCTGGGCTTTTGTGTGTTGTGGGGTTCTGGGTCACAGGTTCAGCCTCCTTCCTGGAAAGAAGTCTGTTCAGATTTTCTGTTTCTTTGTGATTCAGGCTTGGTAGGTTGTGTGTTTCTGGGGGTTTATCCATTTCTTCTAGGTTGTCCGTCTTGCTGGTGTGTGAGAGACGGGCCTCTTTATTCGCTACATGGCTCTTTCACCGGGACATGCACCTGTGTTTGGGACGCTGGCTACATACTTCTTTCACGGGAAGGGTACACCCTGTAGACAGCGTGTACTGTACACGTCAGAGCTGCGTGGCTGGTGGGCTGTGCGACATGTGGTGGGGTGTTACATGCATGTGAGCATGTACATATACGTGAGTGCGTTGCATACAGGCCTGTGTGCATGCACGTGTATGTAGCTCACACATACATGTGCACACACACGCATTAATGTGTGTGTGTGAAGGTGTGCGTGTGTGAGTGTGCACACATGTGCTAAAATCTTGTTTAGATGTCTTCCCATTAGGTTTCTGAAGGACACTGTTTGGTGGTTTTTTTGTCTTCCGTTGTCTTCATGTGGGATCTCGTCTCGCTGGTGTCCTGGGGGCGTTTGGTCACGTCCCCTCCTGTTCGACTTTTTGGAAGAGCTTCTGTAGAATTGCTATTGTTATTTTTTCTCAAGTGTGTGACAGAATTTGCTAGTGAACCCATTTGGGTGTGGAGTTGTCCTTAGGCAAGTTTTCATTTAAAAATGCGATTTTTACAAAGTAAGGCTGGTCAGGTTGCTTTGTGTGTCTTAGTCTTTCAAGGAATGTGTCCACTCAAGCTCAGTTATTTAGATGAGTGGAATAAAGGTGCTCACAGAACTTCCTTGTCCTTTTGATGTTTGTAGAATCAGTAATGACATATCTCTTCCTTTTCTGACTGTCGTGATTGGTGTCTTCCCTTTTCCCCTCATCATTCTGGCTGTGGGTTTATCAGTGGTAGTGGTTTTCTTGACGAACTGGCTTTTGGTTTCAATGATTTCTCTGTTTTTCTGTTACGGGTTTCCTCTCTGATGTTTCTTATTGTGTTTCTTCTGCTTCCCTTGGTTCTCTTCTTCTCTTGTTTTTGTAGCCTCGTGGGGTGGAAGCTGAGACCGCCGATCGGGATCTTTCTCCCCTTCCAGCGTGAACATTTGGTGCCGCGAACTGCCCGGGTGTGCTGCTGAGGCGGCTTCCCCGAGTTACTGAAACGTCGTGTTCTTGTTTTCACTCAGCTCAAAATACTTTTCTGGTTTTCCTTTTAATCTTCGTTAGACCCGTGGCTTACTTAGAGGTATGTTTTTTGCGGGATTTTCCAAAGGCCTTTCTATTCTTGACTTCCAAATTAATTCTCCAGTGGTCAGAGAACAGTACTTTTCAGGGAGTTGGAGTCGTCTTACACGTGTGGTTCAGGATGTGGTCTCCTCTGGTGACTGAGCAGTGAGGTGCACCTGCTCCTGCAAGATCTTGTGTTCCTTCATCACCGAGTGGGGGCATCGGGCTCCCCGACATAGTTATGGATTCGTCTGCTTCCCTTCAGTCCTGCCCATTCTGCATCCTATGCTCTCGACCTCTGCTATTCGATTTGTAAACATTTAGGGATCTTGGGTCCTCTTGAGGAATTAACTCTTTTTTCGTTAAGAAATGACCTCTTTAGGGGCGCCTGAGTGGCTCAGTTGGTTAAGCAACTTCTGCTCAGGTCATGATCTCGATCGAGTTCGTGATTTTGAGCCCCACATCGGGTTCTGTGCTGACAGCTTGGAGCCTGGAGCCTGCTTCGGACTCTGTGTCTCCCTCTGTCTCTGCCCCTTCTCTGCTCATGCTCTGTTTTTTTTTCTCAGAAATACACAAACGTTAAAAAAAATAAAGACATGACCTGTTTACCTGGAAATCTGAGCTTGTCCTATGTTAATGTAACTGTTCCAGCTTTCCTTTGATTATCGTCAGGAGGCATGGCTTTTTCCCTCCCTTTTTTTTTCCAGCCTGTTTGCACCTTAAGTTACATCGAATCTCATGGTCGGCAGTCGCTGGCTGTGCTGTCGGTATGGCGGGTTGAGTCTGTCCCAGTTTTGGTTCATTCCATCTGTTTTTTGTTGGTTTCCCCTTTTCTGCCGTTTTGTGGGTTTGCTGACTGTCTTGTGTGACCCTGCCTGAGTGTCTTTGTGGGCTCTTGGGTCATAATGGTTCACCATGTCACTGGGCCTGCGCTGGAGTCTGTGGCTGATTCCTGTAGCTCAGCCCTGCATTGTTACCCTGTTTGTTTCCACAGACCGTTCTCTTTTGCAGAAATGGGTCACAAGCAGGGGTGTGTGTCTCCTTATGTGGTTCTGTTTCTGTGGCTCTGGGCCATGTGGGTATGCCCACGTGGCCATGCTTTCCTCCCACCACAGGACTTCCTCCTGTGCTTCCCACGCGGTGGGCCGGCAACCTGTCCTCTCTGTCTCTTATTTCTGAGATAAGTCTTCATCTGGCCTTGACTTTTGAGCATTTCTTTTCACTGTCTGCAGAACGGTGGGCCAGCAGGTGCTTGCTCGGTTGTGTGTTTTCAGCGGGAACCTGCCCATGTGTGTTTTCAGCGGGAACCTGCCCACTGCACCCGGCTCCTCTGTCCGAACACGTGAAAGACATCTTTTTTCTCTGCTCGTAAGACCTTCTCTTGGCCGCTGGTTGGAAGCAGTTCGATCTTGACGTGACTCCGTGTGGTTTTCTTCATGGCTGTTGGGCTTGTGGTTTATCGAGCCTCCTGCATCGGTAGGTTTACAGTTTTGTCGTTTCGGGGAGAAAGCCATCAGACACTCTTTATGCTTCTCCCCCTTCCTTCGGGGACCCCGGTTCGCCCGCATCTGGATCTTGACGTCCCATGGCCCACTGATGATCCTTTTTAATTTGGGGCTCTTTTTCCTTTTCTGTCATCCTGGATGGTTTCTGATGCTGAACTTGTACGGTCACCGGCCTTGTCTCCTGTGAGGTGGGACCACCTGTCTGTCCGTCCGGCACGGTGTGGGTCTCAGGGGTTATGTTTCCCTCTCTGGAAGTTCAGTGTGGATCCTCCGCCCCATCAAAGTCATGCCTGGCAGCTGAGAATTGTCAGTCTGTTGTTTTGGGCATCGATGGTGCCAAGTATTTGTTTAATGTGTTTTCACACCAACGTGCGTGAGCCCCTCTTGAGATCACGTGGCACGTGTGTCAGAGCCTGGTGTGCAGGAGGCAGTGACCCCTGCCGGTGTGCTGGGAAACTCACACGCTGCCGCCCAGCACATCTGTCCTCACGAAGGTCCCTGCTGGGCAGTTAGACTCACAGCACATATTTGCCTTGGTCTCTGTGGTGGCTGGCCTTTACCCCTCATCCACAGCTGACAGCCACAGAAAGCGAACAGCTGGCCGAAGCCGATGTCCCTCCTTCCTGAGCTCCAGGGTGGCCTGGGGTCTCGCTGTGCCTGCTGCGGAGGCCCGAGTCCCGGCCTGCTCCCCGCACAGGCAAGGACAATGGTCCTTAGTCTGGGTCATGGCCCTGAGGCCCTGTCTGTGGACTGTTTCCAGCCAGACCTTGTTATACTGTTGTAAGTTCTCAGCCCCGAGGTGCCTGTGCCTGGCCCGTGACAGGGGACATGCTGGGATTTAGGACAATGTAGGTGGTACACCGGGGCAAGGCGGCTGATTTGCACACGAGCCAGCAGGCGGTTAGCGAGGTTGGACGGCCTGAGAGGCCTTTCCTTTCCGGACTTGGGCCTTCCTGCAGGTGCGCTGTGTCTGCAGGTGGGCTCTCACCGGGGACCCCGGCCCTGGGCTGGGCCAGTCTGCATCGTCCCCGATGTGCATGCTGTGGGAGCGACCCCCAGGACTGGACACCTGGGAGCGGGATGGGGGTGCCCGAGGCCGGGGTGGGGGTCTGTGGGGCTGGGATGGGGGCGCGTGGAACAGACAGGG